CCATGTCCTCCAGCTGCTTCCTCAGGAGCACCATCTCCTTGCTGGCATGGTACATCGCAATGTACTCTGCCTCTCCGGAAGACTGAGCAATCTCACTCTGCTTCTTGGACCTCCAGCTCACTGGTCCACCTCCGACCATGCACACAAAGCCGCCAACCGATGACTGATCCTCATCCTCTGAGGCCCATGTGGCGTCGGTGAAGCACGACAGCTTCAAGGTTCCAGGCGTGACCCCATCTGCTCCAATCTGTTTCAGCTGGCCGCCAGCTGAAAACTGAACACCAGCAGATGCCGTTGATCCGAGGTAGCGCATCAAGTGCTTTGCCACCTCCAACTGCTCCTCAGTGGGCCGCTGCACAACTCTGGCCAGCTGCCCCACTCCGAATGAAGCATCAGGTCGCGTATGCACAGCTGCATACATCACACTCCCAATGAGTGACTGGTACTCATTCTGCTGCTCATCCTCGAGTACATCATCCTCCTCAGCTGCCTTCTTCAGTTTGAAGCCCGCAGGGGACGGTGTCATCACAGTGCGACCCCCAGTCACACCATAGCGCTCCATGACACCAGAGATGTAGTGTGACTGATGCACCTTCAGCCACCTCCTCTCAACATCCCTCTCAATCTGCAGCCCCAAGTAGTAATGGACATCCCCAAGCATCTTGCACTTGAAGTTGTCCATCAGCAGCTTCTGTGTCCTCTCAATCTGCTCCATGGAGGGTGAGAACAGCAGTATGTCATCGACATACACCAGCAGCAAGAGCAGCTGCTCCCCCTCTCCAAGCAGAAACAAACTGTGATCCGCCTGGGATGTCTTGAAGCCTCCACTCAGCAGCACCTCCTCCAGCTTCTCGTACCAACACCTGGGCGCTTGCTTAAGGCCATAGATGGCCTTCTTAAGCTTACACACCCGGCTGGTCCCATCCTCATAGCCGTCGGGCTGCGCCATGTAGATATCCTCCAGCAGTATTCCATTGAGGAACGCAGTGGTGATATCCATCTGCTTCACGTGCCATCCCTTCACAGCTGCGCCAGCCATCAAAGTCCTCAGTGTTACTGGCTTAGCAACGGGAGCGAAGATCTCTCCAAAGTCGACCTTCTCTTTCTGCTGAAACCCCTTGGCGACCAAGCGGCTCTTGAACCGCTCCAACGCACCATCAGCTCCACTCTTCACCTTGAAGACCCACTTGCTGCTGATCGGCCGTCGCCCCTCGGGTAACTCAACAAGCTCCCAAGTCCCATTCTCAATGCGACTATTGAACTCCGCATCCATGGCAGCCTTCCATTCCTCCTTCTGGGGTCCACTCAGTGCCTCCTCCATTGTGGCTGGTTCTCCAGGCAAGGGTGTGAAGAAACACAACGCCATCTCCTCATCCTCTCCCTCATCCGCCTGAACCGCCATGGCACCTTGCTTGGGTCCACCCAAACGGCTATACTTCAGCCTTGAGGGTGCTGCTGCCACTCTCTTCTCGCGGGTTGCAATCTGCTGCCCATGTGGTGAAGCTCCTCTCTGCACATTCCTCTTGGTGACCTTGGCGTTTGTTGCAGGCTCGGGCTGAGATGGTGAGTCCACACGTGCCGACTCATCCTCCAACCCCTCCTCCGCAGCAGGACCAGAAACTTGCTGCTCACCACCGCCACTGTGGTCACTGGTCTCTTGAGGAACTTGGTGAATTCCGCTCCAATGAACTCTCCACACCTCGGTCGCTCCTCAGCACCTTCACCAGCCGCATCGCTTGCCGCTCCACCATCGGCAACCAATCCTCCGTGATCGCCGCTGTAGCATCGCTCTTCTTGGACAAGGGACGCGCCCACGTGAAACGGCTCCATTCGTCCACCATGGTAAGGAAGTACAGCACTCCCCCAGTCCCCTCAGTCCTCATAGGACCCACCAGGTCCATGTGCACTACTTCCAATGGTGCCTTGGCTGATCCCTCTGCACGTGGAAACGGGAACTGCGCAAACTTGTATTGCATGCACGCCTCGCAGCTGCCATAGTGAGCGCCATCTCCTTGCAGTTGCAGCCCATGCACGCACTTCTCCTTATGCATCACCTCCAGTGTTGAAACAGCCACGTGTGCGAGCCGCCGATGCCAAGTCTCCCAATCCGCTTGGCCCGAGGTAGCCGACGCCTTCACCGCCGCGCTTCCTCCAATCAGCTCCTCTCCTTGCACACCTTGCTGCTCCTCCTCGGTGACACTCTCCTCCATAGATGCCGCCGCTGCCGCCTTGCCCGATTTCCGCCAAGGGAGGACCGGGATCTGCCACATCCGCTTGTGGACATCTCCCTTCCACTGCAGGTCCCAAATGAGGCGCTCATCGTTGTAAGCACGATAGCGCTCCGAGCCAATCGTCTCGGTGTTCACACCCGCATCTCCCAACCGGCCGGTAGAAATCAGGTTCGCGCACAAGTCCGGCACCCACAGCACATTCTTCAGCCCCACGAGCTCTCCATCCGCTCCCATGAACTTGGCGCATCCCATGCCCATGACCTTGGCCTTGGCGCCCGTCGCGGATGTGACCGTAGAGATAGGTGCGGGCTGAATCTCATCGAGTAGGTCCGCACGAGGAGTCATGTGCCAGGAGCTTCCCGAGTCGATCACCCAATGGGTGAGGGGGTGTAGGAGAACCTTGGCAGCCATAGCGAGGTCGGTTGCGCCTTCGTTCGCGAAAAAGAAGAACCCGGCCTTCCGCTCCTCAGATTTGCCGCCTTTCTCCTCCTCCTTCTGCTCACCACTAGCTCCCATGACTCCCCCACTCCTCTTGCCACCATGCAGGTTGCTCGATGAAGGCGGGGTCCAATCCTTGGGTCGTTGGTAGCACTTCCGCCAATGATGTCCGCGCTTCTTGCAGTAGAAGCACACCTCCCCTTGACCCCCGCCGCCATCCTCCTTAGGGTTGTCCTTGTTTTTTCCCTTCCACTTCTTCTTGAAGCCACTCTTTCCACCTCCAACTCCATTGCCAGCCCCCTCCTCCGAGTGCTCCACACTCCGCCGCCGCAAGTCCTCCTCTAGGATGCGCGCGCGAATGTAATCCACGCTCCATTGGGGTTGTTGGGAGTTGAGGTTGATCGCTAGGGCAGACCACGACTCCGGCAGCCGTATTACGATCTTCACGCATTGCACGAGCTCCGGGTACACCACACCGCCTCCTTGGAGCTTCGTGAAGATGTCCCGCATCTCATCCAACACCGGTTGCATCGGCTCTCCATCAACGAACTTGATGTCGCGCAGCCGCCGCGCGAGTAGCACGATGCCGGTAGCATGTGTCGGTGAGTGCACATCCAGAAGCTTCCTCCAAGCCTTGGGGCCACACTCTGGATCACCCAAGAGGTCCTTGATGTGGTCAAGTTGTCGTCCGCCAACCGCTTGTACCATGAGCATGTACGCGTCGAACGATCGCTTCATCCACGCTCCTTTTAGCTCCGCGGCCTCCGGCATCTTCTCCTTCCCCTCCACCAGATCCAATAGCTTGTATTGGGTGTACATCAGCCTCATGCAGAAGCTCCAGTGCTCGTAGTCCTCCCCCATGAATTTCTCAATAGAGAACGCCTTCACGGGATCCACGGTTGTTGGAGATGGTGTAGTAGACGTAGGTAGCGTAGGGCTGGCTGGTAGGTGAGTCCCCACTCCTCCACCAGCAACTCCCCCCTGCTCTCCAGCCTCTCTACTTCTATCCATCTCGCCACTAGCACCTCCGGAGTTCGTACCAACCATATTGAGGCCTTATGAACGGTGGAAACTTGAGAAATCGTTTGGAGAGAATTCTGCCAGAAATTTCGATTCTACAAAAAACGCCGTCGCGGACTGGATACTTCGAATTAGAACGCGGTTTGACCACCAATCGAAATTTCGCAAGCACAGCTACTAGAAAATGGTCTCGCTCGACATCATTGGTTGAGAATTCACGACGATTCGTCGTCTCGAAGTTGACTACCCTCTCTGATACCACTTGTTGTTCAGGATCCGTCACTTTGAGAACTTACGACGAACTCATTACTCAACTAAACGCAAATCCGCTCGGTAGGATTGTGCGCCTTAAGCTTCGCTACCATCTTCAAGTTGAATCAGTTGTTACGATGGTCTAGAGAGTGAGAACCATGTAAAAGCCGCATAACTAGAATGGTAGAGGAAGTACAAGCATGTAGGCATAGGAAGTTGGAGTTGGGGACTTCAAGAGAACCATGAGAGGGAAGGGGTTCTCCAAGAGCTAGGGAAGGATGGTAGGAACCTTCCTAGCAGCAAGGATGCAACCCTCATCATGAAGTCCTTGAGGTGTCACATGCAAAATCCAATCTAGTTGGATTTTGCCTTGGTGTTGCAACATTTGCAACCCATGCTAGAAACTTCTAGCCACCCCAATCCAAAAGTCAAAGTTGCCTTCCCTAACCACCCAACCAAAGATCCCTTTATAGTCATGTCCCAAGTAATCACCCAAATTAGATATAACCCCAAAAGGTAATAAGAAATCAAAGTCTTGGAAATCTTGTAACTTGGGCGATCTTGGTCGGAATAAGGCGATCTTGGTATCGTTGGAAAGCTCTGGATTTATCCTGCATGATCAATCACTTAGACTTGGAGAAAAAACACAGAGATGACAATATCCAACAGCCATGCATAATGACATATGCTCATGCAAATCATGCAAGCACAAATAGCACGAGCACTCGGCAGGACGTTAGGATGACATGCACTCAGAATGACGTGCATCCAACAGAGACGACACGAGCAGGGAGCAGACTCAGTACCAGACCTGGACGCTGCAGGAAACACCTGACCCGACGCAGCTACCTGACCAGACTCAGCAACCGGAGGAGACTCAGTAGTCAGTGTGTACAGGCTCGACCCCGGCTGACGGGTAAACGTGGCCAAGTGTCGGCCCGTCCGAGCACACATACAGTGGGTCACCCGCTGACTCGCAGGAGTGAACTGGTCAACCCCCCCATCCTGTAGAGCAGCACCACTCACCAAGTTCGTAGAGAACGAGGGGAGGTAGAGACCTTACAGGGTGCTAGAGGGGGCTGCTGGACACGGCAAGACAGTGGGGAAGTGGGCAAGGACAGGACCCCCAGAGGGGTCCGCCAGGGAGACCGCAACTGGCCGACTAAGCGGCGTAAGCGTGGTGCGGTCTCGAAAGAAGGAGCGGGAAGCACCCGAGTCAAGGGTGAAGGTGTGTAAGACTTGAGCCGACGTGGTACCTAAGAGAGCAGACTCACCAGCACTTGGGGCAGTAGACGCACTAGCACCTAGAGCAGCAGCCTCACCAGCACCTAGAGCAGCAGCCTCAATGCCTGGGTCAGGCGGAACACACAGGTAAGGGTCACCCTCATCACTAGTAGGCAATGCATGCATGGCAGTGAGGATAGCATCATAGTCAAGAGTGTAGATATCTACCCGCAACCTAAGCAGATCCACCCAGTCGGGGAGCTCAGCCGCGTCGCCAAACTCCGTACGCCAGGCATCGCTCAGACGGGCAAAGTAGCGGGACTCTGCGTGACCAAACGTCCCGCAAGGCTGACCAGTCCGAGTACCAGTGCGAATGATGTACGGAGAGCGAGCAGTACCCCGTGACCTGCCACGCTGAGCGTACCACTCACGAAGCTGGTGGGGCGAAAGGACCGCGCACGGACGACGCTGCAGCTGCACCTGGCCACTACAAGCAGCTGCCGAACTACTCACTCCAGGACGACTCCCACTACGGCCACCCCGACAACCCCAAGTAGCGTACCACTCACAAAGCTGCTGGGGCGTGAGGGACTCACGAGGACGTCGCTGGAGCTGCATCTGGCCATCGCCAGGAGAAGCAGGAGCAGTGGTAGCAGCAGTAGCAATAGCAGTAGTCGCAGCGCGGCCACCCCTATAAACCCAACTAGCGTACCACTCACAAAGCTGTTGGGGGGTGAGGGACTCACGCGGACGGCGCTGGAGCTGCATCTGGCCACGCCAGGAGCAGCAGTAGCAGTAGAAAGAGCAGTAGCAGCAAGAGTAGCAGTAACAGCAGTACGGGCAGGGCAGTGCTCACCAGCGGCGAGAAGAGCAGGCGTACGACGGCGGCAACGGCGAGGCCGCTACCACTGTAGGGCAAGGGCTCCGCGGCAAATGCAGGGGCGGCTGCTCCAAGGGCGGCTGCTCCAGGGGCGGCTACTGCAAGGGCGGCTGCTCCAGGGGCGGCCGCTGAAGGGGTGGCTACTCCAGGGGTGGCTGCTGCAGTGGCGGCTGCTCCAGGGGCGGCTGTTGCAGGGGCGGCTGCTCCAGGGGCGGCAGCTGCAGGGGTGGTTGCTCCAGGGGCGGCTACTGTAGGGGCGGCTGCTCCAGGGGCGGCTGCTGCAGGGGTGGCTGCTCCAGGGGCGGCTGCTTGAGGGGCGGCTGCTCCAGGGGCTGCTGCTGGAGGGGAGGCTGCACTAGGGGCGGCTGCTGCAGTGGAGGCTGCTCCAGGGGCGGCTGCTGCAGGGGCGGCTGCTCCAGGGGCGGCTGCTGCAGGGGCGGCTGCTGCAGTGGCGGCTGCTCCAGGGGCGGCTGCTGCAGTGGCGGCTGCTGCAGGGGCGGCTGCTGTAGTGGCGGCTGCTCCAGGGGCGGCTGCTGCAGGGGCGGCTGCTCCAGGGGCGGCTGCTTCAGGGGCGGCTGCTCCAGGGGCGGCTGCTTCAGGGGCGGCTGCTCCTGGGGCGGCTGCTGCAGGGGAGGCTGCTCCAGGGGCGGCTGCTCCAGGGGCGGCTGCTGCAGGGGCGGCTGCTCGAGGGGCGGCTCCTGCAGGGGTGGCTGCTCCAGGGGCCGCTGCTTCAGGGGCGGCTGCTCCAGGGGCGGTTGCTGCAGGGGAGGCTGCTCCAGGGGCGGCTGCTGCAGTGGCGGCTGCTCCAGGGGTGGCTGCTGCACGGGCGGCTGCTCCAGGGGCGGCTGCTGCAGTGGCGGCTGCTCTAGGGGCGGCTGCTGCAGTGGCGGCTGCTCCAGGGGCGGCTGCTGCAGTGGCGGCCGCTCCAGGGGCGGCTGCTGCAGGGGCGGGTGCTCAAGGGGCGGCTGCTGCAGTGGCGGCTGCTCCAGGGGCGGCTGCTGCAGGGGCGGCTGCTGCAGGGGCGGCTGCTGCAGGGGAGGCTGCTCCAGGGGCGGCTGCTGCAGTGGCGGCTGCTCCAGGGGCGGCTGCTGCTGTGGCGGCTGCTCCAGGGCGCGGGTTAGGGCAGGGCGCCGCGGCGGGCAGGGATGACGCCACGCGGGTCCCGCAGGGGCGTCGCGATGCACAGGAGCCGCGCCTCGCGGGTCCCGCAGGGGCGAAGCGTCGGGGCCGCAACTGGCGACAGGGCGGGGTCGCGTCTGGCGACGGGGCGGGGCCGCGAAGGGGCCGCGAAGGGAGCCGCGAGGGGGCCGCGAGGGGGCCGTGAAGGGGCCGTGAAGGGGCTGCAAAGGGGCCGTGAAGGGGCCGCAAAGGGGCCGCGAAGGTGCCATGAAGGGGCCGTGAAGGGGCCGCGAAGGGGGCCGCGAAGGGAGGCCGCGAAGGGGCCACGAGGGGCCTGAAGGGGCCGCGAAGGGCCGTGAGAGGGGCCGTGAGAGGCCGTGAGAGGGGCCGCTACTGGGCCGTAGGGGCCACGAGGGGCCTGAAGGGGCCGCGAAGGGCCGTGAGAGAAGCCGTGGGAGGCAGCGAGAGGGGCCACTACGGGGCCGTAGGGGAGCGCGACGGGCAACTAAGGGCAGGGGACGCGAGGGGAGGGTAGGCACACGGGGCGCTACTCGGGCAAGGGCGAAGCACGCTCCGGGCAGGAAAAAAAAAAATCGATATTCGGTGGGCCCTAGGAAACGTTCCCACTAGGGAACCTGCTCTATACCATGTGAAAGAACGAGGGATGAATGAACTAGCAAGCAGGTGGGTATAAGTAGGAAAACCTAGAAGTGTTGTACCCCATATTGTCTACCCCACTACAGCCTACACAGACTATAGCATATGAGTTTGACAGTTTCCTTATAACTGATCTCAAGATTAGTCAAATATCCATTTACTACGATTGCAACATATTGTCAAAACGTATATGTCTATTGTCTAGGCTGTAGTGGGGTAGCCCCTAAAGGGTACAACCCATTCGGGTTAGTACTTGCTGTTAGTCAATCATTCCGCTATACTCTTATTATGACATGGTATCGTGCGCTAGGTTAGGTCCGACTGCCGCACCTACTACAGTACCTACGATTAGGTTAGGTTTGTTCCGCTGCCCCGCGCCTCGAGCGCCACTGCCCTACTGCCCCGCACGACGCGCGCCACTGCCCTGCTGCCCCGTGCATCGCATGCGCCCTGCTGCCCCCCTGCGCCCCGTGCGCCCTGCTGCCCCGTGCCACGCGCGCCCTTCTGCCCTAGGCGCCCCGCGCGTCCTGCTGCCCTGCGCGCCCCATGCGCCCTGCTGCCCCGCGCCCCGCGCGCCCTGCTGGCCCCCCGCGCCCCGCGTGCCCTGTTGCCCTACGCGTCCCGCGCATCGTGCTGCCCAGCGCGCCCCGCACGCCCTGTTGCCAGCGCGCCCCGCGCGCCCTGCTACCCGCGCACCCCGCGCGCCTTGCTGCCCTATGCGCCCCGTGCGTCTTGCTGCTATGCACGCCCCGCGCGCCCTGCTGCCTCGCGCCCTGCTGCCCTGCGCTTCGCGCGCCCAATCGCCTGCAAACTGCCCTAGCCGCGCGCGCGCTTTTCTATCCGTAAGCGCGCTGCCCTAGCTGCCTGCGCGCTGCCCTACCTGTCCTCACGCTGCCCTAGCCGTAAGCGCGCTGCGCGTGCCTGCGTGCACTGCCTGTGAAAGAACAAGGGATGAATGAACTAGGAAACAGTTGGATACAAATATGAAACCCTAGAAACCTGTACCCCTTAGAGTCTACCCCACTACAGCCTACACAGGCTAAGTCATATATATCTGACACACCCCCATAGGCAAAGTGGGGGAGAACTAGGGGTCACAAGACTAGTCAAGCAAAGAAAAACAAAGCAAGCTCAGGGTGGATCACAACGTCACCACACAGTCCGCGCATAGGTTCAAGGCCACAAGGCCAGCTCACATGCAGGAGTATATATAAAGGTAAACAACCAAGTGCAGGTATAAATAGATCACAGTACAAGCAAGGTCAAGAACTGAGCAAGTGAGGCCAAGTAGGCACAAGACCGAGCATCGTACAGAAGCGCTGATGATCACAAGGCTGAAGTGCCTTGGTAAAGATATCAGCAGTGTTGGCCCAAGAGGCCACGTAAGCAAGGCGCAGCTGACCACGCTGCTGCAGCTCACGAGCAAGAAAGTAGCGAAGAGTAATGTGCTTCGTTCAGTGCTCCAATCTGTGCTTCCGACACAAGGCCAGCATGGCCTTGTTGTCTACGTACAGAACTGGAAGAGAACGAGGCGGCTCTCCCAGGTCGGTCAGCAAGTAGGCGAGCCTGCGTAACTCCTGTGCAGCCATGGCCCCTGCGTAGATCTCGGCCTCACAGCTGGAGCCGAGAACACAAGACGAGCGGGTAGACCACCACGAAACAGAGCCGGAACCAAGGCTAAAGGTGTAACCCTGTGACGACCGCTGCGTAGCCTGGTCGTCAGCCCAAGCCTGAACGCCACCCTCCAAGCACTAGCCCCATGCCTGACGTACTGCACAAGTAGCGCAACACCCTCTTCGCTGCAGCCATGTGCTCTGGTCGATGTCTCTCAGGAGCAACATAGCGTGCCAAGATGCTAAGAGGGTATGCAAGGTCAGGTCGAGTGCAGGTCATCAGGTACATGAGGCAGCCAACAAGCTCTGGGTACGGGCTACTCGGCTCTACAGACTCATCCGAAGGCAGAGCTGAGAGCGAGTGGCAAGTAGACAGAGGAGTCGCCTGAGGCGAGGAGTACGTGAAGTCGAAGCCCAGAAGGACCTGCTGCACCATGTGTGACTGAGTCAGGGTAATGGTGCGCTGTGCTCTGTCCCGGGTGATCTGCAAGCCAAGGTAGCTGCGCAGTTCACCCAGGTCTGTGCACGTGTGTCTCTTCTGCAGCTCGGACTTCACGTGGGCGAGTCCGGCAGTGTCAGCTGTGGCAAAGACCAAGTCGTCGACGTACACAAGGATGAAGAATGGCGGCAAAGAGGTGTCGGTGCGCAGAAACAGCGACGGGTCGGCAAACCCAAGAGCCGCAAGTGTAGTCCTCAGTGTGTCGTGCCACTCGCGGGGCGCCTGGCGGAGACCGTAGACTGGCCGCCGGAGGCTCCACTGGGTACCAAGAGGAAACGACCCAGTGAAGCCAGGTGGGCGGCGCAGCCAGATCTCCTCGTGTAGGCTGCCCTGCAAGAAAGCTGTGCTGAAGTCAAGAGAGTGAAGCTCGTAGTCGCGCTGAGCAGCTATATGCAGCAGTACCCGAAGAGTGGTCATCTTCGGGGTGGGAGAGAATGTCTGAAAGTAGTCAGCTCCCTGCCGCTGACTGAAGCCTCGAGCCACGTAACGCGCCTTGAAGACAGGCGGAGAACCCGGCGGCCGCTTCACCCTGAAAATCCACATGCCCGTGACGATGTTCGCCCCAGGTGGGGGAACCTCATCGACGTAGGTGCCTGTGGACTTCCAGGAAGCCATCTTTGCGTCCATGGCTGACTCCTACTGTGAGGAGTAGGGACCCTCGATCACCTCAGCGTACGATCGAGGAGTCGGGATGTCTGGTGCATCCGGGTCTCCCTCAGGGGCAATCAGCATGGACTCGAGATGAGGCAAAGCAGCAGCAAAACACTGAAACTCTTCCTGCCTGTCCTCAAGGACGTCCGTGCTAAGAGCACACTCACCCCCGACGGACGGAGGACACACAGACTCAGACTCAGCAACAAGACTAGCAGCGTTGTCTAGACGACAGCGCGCAGCAAAGTCGACAAGCTCAGCAGCTAAGGTAGTCGCAACAGTGCAGTCAAAGGAAGGGTTAGTGACAACAGTAGCCAGGAGACGCATGATAGTAGGACTGCCAGCACGAAGAGAGTCAGACTCCGGGTCAGCAAGAACAGGAAGAGAGGACTCTGGAGGAGACGGCAACGGGACACGCAGAGGAGCAGTGGAAGGACGCAGTGCCATCTGATGTGTGCCTGGGACCGCAGGAGGACGCGGACGCGGAACACGACTACTAGTGCGAACAGCACGAACAGGCGACGCAGGACGAGACGCAGGCTCACGACGCTCAGCAAGACCTCTAGTAGGACCAGTGTAGGGAGAAGGAGCAGGTAGGGGGGAGGCTGGCTGTAACTCTGACTGCGACTGGACAGGCTGTGGACACTCTAAGGGAGGACCAGGACTAGTAGAAGGCGGGAGACCAAGAACCTGCTCAAGGAGCGGAACGAAGTACGGTCGCGGCCGCTCAGCGCCTCCTGAAACAGCAAAGACAGCACCAGTACCCCCAGCGGCAGCACCAGCGCCAGCAGTACCTCTAGCTCCAGCAGTGCCAAATCCAGCACCCTCAGAAGTACCACCGCCAGCAGCACCTCCAGCGCCAACACCCCCAGCAGCTCTAGTACCTCCAGCAGCACCCGCAGCACCCCCAGTCGCAGCAGCTCCAGTACCGCCAGTACGAGCACCTCCAGGACCAGTAACTCCAGTACCTCCAGCGCCGACCCCAGGGTCAGCAGCAACAGTAGCACGGCTCCAGCGCCGGGCAAACCACTCGCACAACTCTTATGGAGAGGGTAGCTCCCGCCGAGATGAAGCACCCGAAGGACCCCCAGACCCAGCACCTCCAGAGGCCACACGAGCAGACCCAACACCCCCAGGCTCCGCACCCCCAAGCTCCGCACCCCCAGGCTCAGCACCCCCAGGCTCAGCACCCCTAGACTCAGCACCCCCAGGCTCAAAACCCCTAGCAGCACCAGAGTCAATAGCTACCTCGACAGGCTCGACTGCGTCTACCTGGGACACACCTAATAGGGCAGGACCCTGAGGGGAGAGAGGGTCTACCGGGGGGGGGGACCTGGCGCAAGGTAGAGCGGCGGCGGGGGGAGGGGCGCAGTGCGGTAGGGGAAGAGACGTTAGTAAGGAACCGACTCGTCAAAGGTGACGTCCTGGGAGGACAAAACACGGCGCGAGGTGGGGTGGTAAAATTGCCAACCAGGCGCGTCAGGGGGGAAGCCAAGGAAGACGCAGGGAACAGCACGGGGGGACAGCTTGTCCGCAGACAAGTTGCGGACAAACGCTCGAGATCCCCAGACACGAAACGCAGACGCATCGCCAACCTTCCCCGTCCACCGCAAGGTGGGGGAGGTCTCCGGCAAGGAGACCCGGGGCTGAAGGTTGATCTGATGCGCTGCGTACCGAACCGCAAACAGCCACAGAAAATGGGGAGCAGCCGCATGGATCATGGACGTACTAGCCACGTCCATGACCATGCCAATGCGGCGCTCAGCAATCCCATTTTGCTATGGAGAGACCGGAAGCGTGAACGTCTGGCGGATGCCCTATGCACGACAAAAGGCTCGCAGAAGGCCAGAGAAAAACTCCCCGCCTCTGTCAGAGTGCAGACGCAGAACAGGACAGTCCGAGCCGAAACTCTCTCTGAGCTGGAGACGAGCTGCGCGGATCTAGTCGATCAACACCTCAGTGACGTCACCCTTGTTGCGCAAGGGGAACACCGTGTTGTAACGCGAGTAGTCATCAACCACCAACAGGAAGTAATGCTCCTGACCCTGGCCACAGACGCGGGCGGGGCCCCACACGTCCATGTGAAGAGTCTGCAGCGGAGCCTCTGTTGGAGGAAACTCGGAGGAGTGAGGGGCGGCGCGCTGCCGCCCCTCGACGCAGGGAACGCAGGTAGGGGCAGGCCCCGGAGGGAGGGGAGGGAGGGACCGGGGGAGACCAGAAACAAGGTAACGGGAGGCCATGCCTCGGAGACGAGGCAGGGAGGGGTGACCAAGGCGGTGGTGCCAGAGGAGAGTCCGGTGGGAG